ATTGAGCGATTTCCTCAGGCCTGCCATAGTAGCCTCTCATGCAGCTCGGAATCCTGAAGTAAAGCTCCGCAGGCATGTGCGGGCCCACCTTCACTCCAGTGTCAATATCTAAAAACTGAAATAATAAGTACAGGTTTTGCTGAACGGACATACAGGTCAAAGTCATATAGAAATATAGCCCCATAAGGGTTATATTGCTTATAAGTAGGGTTCCGCGTTTTCGGTAAACATATATAAACCACGAAAATTAACCCCCTAGCTGCATTTATCAAAATCGGGAGAAAACAAAAACACGGAATTAAAGCTATCCTTGGATAAAAAGATATATATGAAAGACGTTTACAATTCCCTGTAATTCCGAATTAGAGCGCAACTCTCGAGGAGTAGGAGGGGAGGGTACGGAGAGGAGGGTATGCCCCTCCTCCTCCTCCGTACCCTCTCCTCCTCTTTCTCCTCCTCCCCCTCCTCCTCCCCCTCCTTGTGAAGGTCGTGACCTTCACTGTGAAGGTCGTGACGATCGTCGTGACCTTCACGAGTGACCTTCGTGAGCCTAGTGACCCTCGTGACGTCACTCGTGACGTCACGTGTTACGTCAATATGACAAACGTCCCATAATGCAAGACGCGATTACGCCGACGGCGACGCCGCTCAAGCCGGAAACGGGCGCCTAAGAGCTGCTCTCTAAAAAACCAAAGCTTCAAAGAAAGAAAATCCTTGTCTACAGTTTTACTTTGTGCAGACCTAAAACGCAGTCCCCAATGAACTGTCAGTGAGGATTCTTACTTCGGGACCACACACCTTATCTCGGTTATTTTTCTTATCGGCACGCACGGGAAGGTTTTCCAAGTGTTCGGGTGATGCGTACGTTCCCTAAAGGCTGGAGATAACGGAACTATATTCTCGTGTCCCATTTCCATAAACGTGATACACTGCGATCTTCAATCCGACACCAACAACCGCTTGAAGAAAAAAAAAACACAAAATATTTAAATAAATAAACCCAGAAAAAAACACTTTCCTGAATTCGAAGAAAAATAAACTCAGCATGAAGATCGACCACTAAATTCAGGGAATTTAGCGAAAAATATTCCCGCCAAATTTAGCGAAAACTTTTCACGCCAAATTAAGCGGAAAACTTTCTCAGTAGATTTAGCGGAAAATGTTCTGCCAAATCTAGCGGGAAATGTTTACCTTCGTGACGTCACACGTGACGTCACCTGGTGCACGCCGGAATTTTTCGGTCCCACCGACGCCAGAGTTTCTGCGACGCGAGCTCCTAAACGCTATTGCGTTAATAAATAAAGAAAGAAAGAAACAGCAAAAAAAAAAATAATAAAAAAAGTCTTATTAAAACAATTCGCGAGCTCCAATCTTAGGCTTCCGAAGGGACTGCGCTATATGCGGTCACTCCTCGCTTTGTTCCGCTACAAAATGAATATCGTTCTTGTGTGACCCTGTCACCAAGTTGCCCATCTAGTTTCGAGAAAAATACAGGACGAGGTGGCCGAGTGGTTAAGGCGATGGACTGCTAATCCATTGGGCTCTGCCCGCGTGGGTTGGAATCCCATCCTCGTCGCAGACTTTTTCGTATGGAGAACATCCAGTGATGTCTCGTCAATTTAGACCCTACTCTCCCCCCCCCCCCCCCCCCCGCCCCCAGATTTTCTATACTACAGTAAGAAGACAAGGGTGCATTTATTTTTTCCCAGTGTGTCCCCAAAAATGGTGTCCATATAGCGGGGTCTATATTACTTGGACATTACTGTACTGTTAGGTAAATTTGAGGGAGAAAAATACTCCAAAAACCATAAATAGCGCATAAAACAAAAAAACGCTGAAAACAAAACAAAAAACTCGTGGATTCCAACGGTCCCCGTTCCGAAGAGACGAAAATCGTGTAGGAAATTGCTGGGCAATCGTGTTACACGTGGCACGTTCCGGTGCCGCCTTGGAACGTTACCCAGACCGGCGCCTACGCTCACGTCGCTGTTCATCAGATAACAGGTGGCATAGAAACTTGATAGCAGTTGCTTGAAGGAAGACACCGGCGCTAGTCGGGTGTTAAAGCCTGGTGGGTTTTCGAATGGACCCACCGGAATCAGCCAATCAGCGTTGATTACGTGACCTTTCCACCAGCCAATCAGCGCCGAGCTTCGCGGTCGATTTGTTTTAAGCTTCATTAAACCTGGCGACTCCCTCGCCCTTCCCCCTGACGAGCCAAAGAACGTTTGACGGTGAAAGGCGTGCTCTCATGCTGTGCTCGTTGACCAGATCGACCAACTTCTCGAAGGACAAGGCGGAACTGGTAACCTCGAATCCCGGAAAAAAGCTCACCGGAGAAAAACTCACCGGAGAAAAGCTCACCGGAGATAAACTCACCTGAGAAAAGCTCACCGCAAAACCGGCGGATGCGGAGAAAAGCTCACCGGCCATTGAGCGTATACGGAGCGATATTTTTTCTTATTTTCATATGGAGGCTGTTGGATAATGCGTAACATGTATCAATTTATAATAATTAAAATTCGTCAGCTTTGTAAAAAATAAAATGTCCTTTTTGTAATATTTCTTAAAGGGGCACTGACACCCCAAAGGTCGTATTTATTTTTACTGTCTAAAACGATGCAAGTTGCAGTCATAGACACGCAAAAAAAACCACATCGCGAAAAAAAAAATTCCCGCGCGCGCCGTTTTATTTTTGGCGTTTGATTTTCCCTCCTCTCGCCTCCTCGCTTCTTTTGATCGGTGACGTCAAGAATCATGAAATTTAGAAGCTTTGTAGGCGACATCTCTATAACATTTAATTACGGCAATCCTAAAACATGTTTTTTAACGCAATTGCGAACGCACTACGGCCTTTCTTTTTGAAGTACCAAAAATCGGGAGTTCGTTGTGGTGCCGTCTCCTGGATTTGTATCCTCCAACGGAAAACAGGCGACACCGCTCAAAACCGGTCCGCCGCAACGCCTGCGCTCACTCCTTTCCTCCTCGCTTTGGGTCGCCATGGCAACAGCAGGGAGTGGTGAAAAAAAGTGGACTCTCATGCAGACTTGTACGTAATCCGTTACAAGTAACGAAATTACTTGTAATCCCTTACATTTATCGCTAATTTAGTAACGGAATAATTACATATTTTGTAGAGTAATTTTAAAGTAATTCCCTTACATTTTTTACGTAACGGATCCGTTACATTTTTTTTCAAGACCAGCCCCCCCCCCCCCCCCCCCCCCCTACCCTTTTAAAGAAAAGGTCGTTTTCATTTGGGTAAAGTTGAGCGCGGTGACACTGTCACGCGAATTGACCAGCGCAAAGGGAGGCTTGGCACTCTTCAGTTTCGCAAAGCCTTTTTTTGCAACACCAAGCCCCTGAATCTATTTTTTAGACCCTAACAACAATGACACAAGATCCAAATAAACATTTCTGCAAAGAAAAAAAGAAGAAAAAAAGGGGGGGGGGGGCAAGTTATATCCGCTTTTTTTAGTGTCTATGTTTTTCTTTGCGATCGAAGGCGGGGGGGGGGGGGGGGGGGGGGAGGGGTTCGAAGACACCAAGTGATTGTATGCCTCGTCGAGAAGCTCAAGGCTGTAAGCGCCCGGACAATAATTACCAATGTCCTTCCTGCGGGACCATTGTCATAATGTCACAACACGAGACAACGCTCAGTCTATCCTAAAATCCACTAAAAGAGATGTGATAATGTATAAAGGTGTTATTGCCACAAGCATCCTCGTTCGTCGATGGACACTTATCATCTTCTCTTAGAAAACAGGATGTGTTTTTTTTTTTGCTTCTTTTACCTTATTTAACCCTGTTTTAAAAGCCACTTCCTTTTTTTTTGTAGTCCAACTTCAAGGGTTGGCCCCCTTTATTTGTGAATTCCAGCCAGGTCATCTGCATCTGAGTTACCCTTTTTGTGAGTTAGCTTTTTTGCGAGCACTTTGAAAATGGTAATAGTCTTCCTTTTTCTTCTTCCTGTTTTTACCCCAGCAGGACGCATCTTATCTCAAGCTCATATTTTTACAAATAAAACATTATGGTGGCTGACGTAGACTTGATATTCTGGGCTTGAGGAAAGCGTGAATCTCGTGAGTGGGGCCATATCACGGCTTACTTAGTTCTCTGCCCTTGGCTGCCCGTGGCATCAGCGGACGTCTATCTGGAGTAGGGTGCCTCCATGTGCTCTTGAGCGCACATGAAGGCTCCCTAATCTGGAGAACACCGGAGTAAACTGCAGTCGGTCCGTGCTCCATGCGTTTTTTAACGGCACCAAGAAGGGTGCACATGGCAAACGTGCGTTTACATTTCCTTGTTTTAACCAACGTTCTAATTATTGTTGTTATGAATGTCCTTTTTTTTTTTTTTTTTTTTTTTTTTTTGCTCGATCACTTAGATTTAAACACTGGAAACTTTTCTTATCCACCAACGTCTTAACCGAGGCTCGACCTGTTCCGAACCAAAGGAAGAAGAATATCGAGCCAAACCTTATTTATTATTAAATTTATTACCTTACTGTTACCAACTCTAACAAAAACTCTCGAATGTCAGGCAACGGCTGCAACGACGAAAAAGTTAGCTCTATCTTCGAGGTAAATAGTACTTCCATTGCTTCGCTGAGAAAGCTCAATGCAGAGCATGAAGCATTCGTGAGGAACAATATGGCACTCCCATCCAGTGCCTCAGTTTAAATGGTGTCCAGCGTAGCAGTCGACATATTGAGTAAGAAATAACGTAAAATGTCTGACAAGACTTTCGAGAGTCAGCTGTTGCTAGAAATACTGAAGATCAATAAATCGAACAGGTGGCAACAATAAGAACTTGAATAACCTTCTTCCCTTTGTTTCTTAATTGAGGAAAATATTGTTGAAAGTAACGCCACGAAAGTAACGGATTACTTTTAGGGGTAACGGTCACTTACTTTTATGGGAGGGTAATTGTAATTGTAATAAATTACATTTAGCCTTGAGTAATCGTAAATGTAATTCCTTACTATTTTTCAGTAACGTGTACAAGTCTGCTCTCATGGATTCCGCAATTTTTGACGTCAAGGCACCGGCGCCGATCGCGCGGGAACTTCGAATTCGGCATTTGGAAATTGTTTTTTTACTTCACAAATACTGAATTCCCAAATTTCAAATTTTGAGGGTAATGTCCCGGCATCGTTTTCAATCGTTTCGTATAATAAAAAAAATATGATTTTGATCTGTCAGTGCCCCTTTAAGCTTACTGGGTATATTACTCCCAAATTAATGATTGCGGGCGAGTGTTTTCTGTGGCTTACTCTCGATGCAAAATAAAGCCTAACTAAAAACTTTATGAGCTTGAAGAACAGGAAAAAGTTAAAAAAAATTTGATGATGTCTGCCTAAAACCTAAAAAATCAAAGCTGTAACTGCCGAAAATTCAAAAGTGCATCCGCGACGACGCGGTGCCTGAAATTCTCTATGAAGCTTTTGTTAATCTTTGAAAACAGGATAAAACAGTCAAAAGGATATCGAGGCTTCTTTCTTCCACTGACATGCACGCTTTCTAGCCGTTCGTGCTGGTGTTTTCACACGTTCCCTTTGTGTTATACTGAGTGTCCTCCTACGGTGAGCCACCCATGACCTTCGGAGCTGCGCAATGGCACCGTTGTTACTCGTAACCTATAGAAGAAGTAGTCTTCTGTTATTCAGCGAATAGGGCGAATTGGTAAACGTCATACATGATGAAAACCGCTCAAACGACGACGACGGTGTGAAAAAAAAAAAACACGACAAGCGAAGCTGTTCTCGCAACTAAAGTTTTGTTAGTGAAATTAACAGAAAGAAAACAGCGTAGCCGACAGTGATTACATCAACAAACACCTTCCTATCTATTAGGCACTACACAATATTTGGAGATGAACCGGTTCACACACCGCTATTCATTATAGCTCGCAAAGAACAAACCTCTTTATTTGACAGAGCTAGCGACGGCGGTAACCGGACAAAAGCTCACCGGACAAAAGCTCACCGGACAGAAGCTCACCGGACAAAAGCTCACCGGACAAAAGCTCACCCGTTTTTTGACAGACCCGGACAAAAGCTCACCCGTTTTTTGACAGACCCGGGCAAAAGCTCACCTCGATTTCTTTTTTTTTTCTACCCGGGCGAAACACGGGCTGAACTAAAGTGCGGACGCAATGGACATTGGACCATTTCTAGGAGAACTTGTACCTCATACACCATTGAGTTGCGAATTTTTTAAAAAATACTTCGAAAGAACGGGAGTTCGGCCTTTTGGAAAAGTACAAGACAGATGACCAATTTAAAAAAATTGTGCGGGATTTTAGATAGGCTCAGGTTCCTTCCACCACAGCTTGTTCCACAAGAACTAACCACCAGGGAAAAGTCTACCGCTAACATCGCTTCCTGCTGGACTATTTTGATTGCACGTATTTCAACAGCCGCTTCCGTTATGCTTGTGTTCCATCTGCGGCGGCACCCAGAGCGAATTCTTCCCTTCGCCTGACTCTGCGCCGACGGCGACTGGAGTTTCCCCCGGTACGGTGGAATATGTACGACACCACTCTTCAAGATAAAGACCGGATGAACACCTGCGAAAGATAGAGTACCGGGTTCCAGAAGCTCGTCGGCCACGCCCATCCAAGCGTCTTGAGGCTGAGTGAATGCCCACAGCAAAATCAGGCGCTCGTTGCCACGGCGTTGACAAAAGCCCGGAGAGGTGAGCCCACCGTAAAGCGAGTGCGAAAAATTACTCTGCACCTGCAGAATTGTCTTAGAAATATTCGCGAGGGCTTGCATGTACATCGATATCTACCAAGACTGCTGGGGCTAGTGGGGGACTGCATTCGCTTCTAACCAATTGATAAATAAACTTGTTTCTACTAAAATCAACAAACCATGCGCCTGTCAGATTTAATTTATCGTTTCCTTTTTGTGTCGCACGCATGCACCTAAGTTGTCCGCACTCGTGTTAAGACCAACATGAAATTTTCTCGTGGTGAGCTTTTGTCCGGGTCTGTGAAAATATCGGTGAGCTTTTGTCCTGGTCTGTGAAAAAATGGGTGAGCTTTTGTCCGGTGAGCTTTTGTCCGGTGAGCTTCTGTCCGGTGAGCTTTTGTCCGGTGAGCTTTTGTCCGGGATTCAGCGACGGCGCGCAGTCAGCTGTCAATAAATTGTGGCCTTTTTTTTATCGGTGTACGATGTTTTGATTTTATGCTTGCGGCTTCATTAATTTATAGAATGGGTGATTACTAATTTTTGAGGAATTGGTAAATATGCCCAATGAACTTCAAGAATATTACAAAAAAGAGAACATATTTTTAATGACGTGACGAATGCGAATTGTGTTAAATTGCCACGTTTGACGCAGAATCAAGCTAAGCTAAACAAAATATCGGTGAGCTTTTTATGCATCCGCTCAAAGGCCGGTGAGCTTTTCTCCGCATCTGCCGGTTTTGCGGTGAGCTTTTCTCCGGTGAGCTTTTCTCCGCCGCCCGGAAACCACGCAGGTGGATCCCGTGCAGGCTGCCATCGTGGTGAAGAGAAAACCCGATGCGTGAGTGATGGGGTTCCAGGCCAGGAGGACGTCTGTGTCGTCGCTGCTTAAGCAGTTCCTGGATCGAGAGTTTCTGGCCGCTGGAGCATGCTCTCACCGACGGATTAAGCGATGTTTCACAGATTGGAGTGTGAGTGTTGTCGACTGCGGAGCATTCTATTATCACTCTGCTGACAACAAGATTGCTTCATTGGCCAATAGTGAGTGAGTGAAACATGTCTTTAATATGGAAAGGAGGATCGCCTGCCTTGGCTGAGTAGGTCTTAAGCAGGAGGGGTAGGGTTATTTGGGTCGGGGGGGGGGGGGGGGTATGAAGATGAATACGGTGAGGTTATATGAGGTTATGTGTCCCCGCTTTTCTGATGTAATCCATCAGGAGTCGAGGAGCGCTTTGCGGTGTTGTGGCGAGCCTCTGGGTCGGGCCCATTCGTCTAGCGTCTTCGGTCAGTCTTCCTCACGGAGGACTTCGAGGGCTTCTTGTCTGTGTCTATCTAGACCTTTGCAGTTCCAAAGGAGGTGTTAGAGTGTCGCCATATTGTTCCTCGTGCAGGTCTTGCACTTTGCTTCTTCTGGTTCCAGCAAGCCAAAGCTCGCCAGTTTCGCTGGAGTGCACGCCGTCTTGGTCCTGATACGACAGAACCGGACGGCAGCCCATTGACTGTAACCTGCTGGTATCTCGTCTTCTTGTGGCGGTAGGAGACCCCTCAGGTCAGTGGCAGATCCAAGGGGGGGGGGGGCGGTGGGGGCGATCGCCCCCCCCCCCAAACGCCTCGCCAGGCAACCCCCCCCCCCCCCCCCCCGGGGTTTTTCGTCAGCTCGAAGAAAAAACGTAAGCAATCGACGCGAGGGACAGAAGATTAAAACAGCGGTGGGTGGACGCGCCTGCTGGGCGCTTCCAAAGTGGGGTTTATCTCCGTCAAGGTCGCGGTACGTCTTCCCGATAGGGACGGCGCCAGGGGTTTTGAAGTGCAGAGACAGTGTGGAGGCGCACCAAATATCAGGGTCCTCGGATGCAGGCACACTTCCAAACAAGGCCAGCACGTCGAGCACGGGGGGAAAATACCTTCAACATATCTAGTCCCCTTTCTTTCTCTCTCTCTCTTTGGAGGTTGTCTGCGAAAAATGTTTGCCCTGAAAGCTCCCAAACGCAGACGCCAAGCAGCTTTCCTCAAGGGTACGATCCTATACACAGCGGATTAACCTTCCTTTCTAGCGGCCGCCTTTTCATCACTGATGGTTTCTTCGTGGTTCTGGGCTTGTCTTTTGGCATGTCTTTTTTGGCTTGCTTTGAGCTGCTGTTGCCCACGGGCTCACTAAAGGTATCTTATTGGCACAGTGTGCTCATTGCCAAGGGAAGTGCGGAGGGGACGTACCAGGAGGAGACGCTCCAGGGGGGGGGGAGGGGGATGCAGCATGTACAACCAGGTGACCAATTGCTTTTCTTCTGAACTGAGAGAGGAAGCAAATGCTCTGGGTACAGTGTAGTCTGGTTGTGAGCTTCACCTGGAGACGTACCGGACTTCCTCACGACCTTGGCTTAAACATAAGCCCGCTTTCGTCCTCGCCTCCATCCCTCACGGAGGATCAGCGCCGCAGCGCGGAATACAGAACGAAGCCGACGAGCAACAGAAGGGTGAGATGTTTCCTCTAATGGGCTTCATACTGCCTGCGGTACGACTTCTCGTGGCGGGAAGCTAATAAAAGAAAGATAAACGGTACGAGCACTCTAAAGGCTGAAGGCTGCTTACAAGGGGTCCTCAAGCCGACGCCGTAGGCATTTATTTGTATACAATGCCGTTTCAACTTAGGGTGGAGGGGCATATTTTAGGAAAGGCGCCCGCTACCCCTTGTCTTCCCTTGGCGCCGTCTTTACTTCTGTGGATTGACGGCAGAGCTTTCGCGCGGCTTTGCAGGAGCGAATATGTGTGTGTCGGACGGAACAGAGGCGGGGCTTGCTGGTTTACAACTGCGGCTTCGAATTCCCTACCTCGGAACTTGGGGAAAACGAGCCCTTTCAAAGATGCGACTGTACATAAATTAAATAGACAGTGCCTGTGTCCGTTCCAGTGAACACCGACTCCCAAACATCCATGCTGCAGTCGTGATCGGCTTTTAGCCCAGTTGAGATTCGCCGACCGGACAACCGCTCTGTCCCATCAAATCTCTGCACCTGTCCTCTCGACCCTTGACGAATGAGCTAACAACCCAGAAACAAGTAAGTGTTCCTTTCATACAGAAAATATCCAGACGAAGTGCAATTTAATATAATTTGGAAGGATCCATTGCTGGTTTAAGGTCTTGTCTAAGTTCGAAAGTTATAGTTGCCGAACTGCAACATGCTTTTAAAAATATTCAACAATTATTCGCTTTCGTTCTCTTGAGTTGCATCCAGAACATGTGAAAACACGAGTGTGGGTTGGCAATGCCACATGTGCTTCGCTCTGGACATTCCAAATATACCGCGAACAACCGACGAACTTGCCTGGCAGCGTTCGTTTCGCTCGCTGCGTCAACAGTGTTTTAACGCCGCGAGCAGCGCCGAAGCCGCCGGGCCATTTTTGTCGCTTGTTTGCAACGTACTCGCTCCATTGGAGCAACCGGCGACAATGAAAAGTATGTTTTAAAACCACGTTCTGCATTTTGGCACTGAATATAAAGTTCTAACTACTATGCCAAGCTTAATCTCAGAGAACAGCCGAGTTTTAGATTAAAACGTTTTTCGCATTGTCATTAGCTGCATGAGCTTCCTCCGTATAGTTGGCAAAGGTTGGCTCTCCGTACATGCTCTGCGGGTGTAACGAGAATATATAAATATTCAAAGCAAAAGGAGCCCAAAAGTTGTAGCCCCGCCGGGGATATCTGAGCCATCAAGTTACACTGTCTGCAATTTTCATCCCCAGTAGTTAAACTTCTTTTTCTATTTCTAGCGCGCTGCCACGCGAATGGAGTAATCCCGTTTCCTATGAACTACAAAATTCCTTGCGTTATGGTGTTCAGAAAGGAGAGTGCCACCACAATTTTCTAGATACTTACCTCTAGCGTGGTCACCCGAAAGGTTTTAATTCAAAGAGTTCATCTCCGACAGGTAAACCGATACAAAAGCTCTCAATATCTATATTATGTTATCAGAGTTTAGTAAAAACAATAACTCCACAAAAAATATGAACACTCCCCCCCCCCTCCCCCCACCCGCCGTTTTACACCGAGGAACCGCCCCCCCCCCCCCCCCCCCCCCCGCCCCCTAAAATGGAGGTCTGGATCCGCCCCTGCCTGAGGTAGGCCTTCCTCGTCTGCCTGGCAAGTTCGGCCTGCTCCTCCGGATCTACCGTCTCGTGCCTGCCAGATAGAGAGGTCGGGCCAAGCGTGGAGCTATAATGTGCTGCCTCCACTGCGGCCCTGTGTGCCCTCTCGTTCCCGGCTATTCCGAATGAGAGAGCTTCGGTCAACGCGTTGACCGAAGCTCTCTCATTCCTGTGTGCACTGTGTCCAGGAAGCCACGTTATGTACAGCTCGCTGCTACTTTCTTGAAGCTCCGTCGCCATTTTTTTAATGTTTTTAGTCGTGCGGCCTTTGGCCCTGCTGCATCTGGTCGCGATGATCGCCTCCTGAGAATCCGTAAAACGTCTGGCTTTACTGGCCGTTACTGAGATAAAAGAAAGCACCTCCGAAATGATCCCGACGCGGAAAGTGTAAACACAATAAACCACGCCCTACGTTCCACAAGCTTATGCTATTTCTCTTTTTTATTTTTTTTTTATTATTGGATTAATATAGCAACGGCGACAAATGAACATGTCAGAGAGACCATCTACGGAGTGCCATCTGCACACCACAGATGCTAGTGCCTGCTGGCTGCAACGTTTACGAACGATGTCGACCGCTATGTTTATATTTAGAACAAAGAGAAAATGTAGCATCGCGCTCTAACCAAAAAAAAAAAGTGCATTTTTTGTTTTAACGAAAATGCGATCTAGGCATTCAGCATTGCGGCGTAGGTACGTAAATTTTCTCGGTCCGGTTAGTCGCTTGACTCCATCTAGTTAGTTACTTTAAATAATCGGACAATCGAATAAAGACAGACGTTTCAAGAGGTTCAGAGAAACTTTATTTTGACGACAGAGCTTCATCCGAGTTTTACGCTGCAGACAAGGTGAGCCCAAAAACGACATTGGACCTTCGTCCGGAATTACGCAGTCAAGTAAACATCGACCCATAGGTTGTTTTCGCACACGTCCGCACACAATGATGCTGATATTTGTTTTTCTCTTTGCGTTACTGCCGACTCTAACATGGAGACTAAAATGACGTACGTGTACACGGCCCTATTCGTCGTGCCTGGTTAGGCGCGTCGGCTTATTTTGCAGCTGGGCGCACTGGGATCCTTTTAGGCTACAGGTTGGCAGCGTAATGATAACCATAGACATTCTGTTAATTTAAGATTGATTAGAAACAAAAGAGCTGCATTTAAAAAATTACTCAACCCAAGAAAAAAAAGTTTTTCCCATAAATATTTAGCTTTTTTTTTTTCTACGGCACAACTAAATTGCGCATTGTTGGACGCTCATTCTTTTCCCAAAGTTAGCCCTAGCGGTATGAAACAGAGGCCACAATGTCAGCCCTAACTGGTATTTTATTCAAAAGTTATAAGTGATATTTTTTTTTTTTTAATTTTTAATGGCGGCCGGCAGATCTCTTTCTATATGAAGCTGAAAGGCGCCAGTTCCCGAAAACGGGCGAAAATGGGCCCCGAATTCTCCCATTGAGATTTTCGGAATATCACGGAACTTTTGATTACGATAGCGATTCGTGCCAAAACTTTTCCCATTCGGTTCGGGCAGCTAGCTTTACATTTGGGCAACAAATGAGTGTTTAAAGATGCAGTTTTTGTTTTGTTTTGATTTTTATGGCGGGAAAAAATAAATATAAATAAATGTTTCTGCTGGGGACACGCTGTATATGCTACAAAAACGTATCCCCCCCCCCCAAAAAAAAAAAAAAAAAAAAAATTCTGCAGCATTTTGGTTGCGAGGCTGATTTTGAACGTCGCGACGTGCTTCTTTTCGGTGCTTACATTTAGGGACGAAGTCCTATAATAGAAGCATATGTTCCATAATCGATTCTCACGAAAACGAACCTCACGACGTAAATGACAGGCCATTTGTGAGCGTGTGCGTGTGTGTGTTTGAAATATTTTTGAGTGGTAAGCGTTTCCAGCAAGGATTCCGAATATGATTCTATTTCGGGCCGAAGTGTCGAAGTATATTCGTTTCTAAGTCAAAATCTGTCTCGCGGCATAAATAATGCGCTATTATTTTTTTGAAGGTGAGGGGGGAGTTTATTTTTGACACACATCTCTTCCTACCCAAAAACTCAACAAACCAGTTTTTTTTTTTTGTTTTTCTTTTTTTGGGGGGGGGGGGGGGGGGGATGGAGGGATTTGATATATCTTTATAGAAATAAGCCTCATATTTTGTTTGGTTTCAAGGTACCAGCCGTACGAAAACTTCGTCGTTCAGATAATAAGCCTCCTCTATGTTGCGATACAGAAAACCTCAGTGGTGCAGTAACTCAGTTCGAAATTTTCGATTTCAAAGTTGCTGTTTGCATGTCCTGAGAAAACGAGCATTGACGGAAGTCATTTTTTCTTTTGTTGTTTCAGCTTCATTGCCTGAGGATAACGAAACAATGAAGGCCCCGATTAAAGACGGCATTGTGTACTCTCCATATCCGAATGTCGAAATCCCAAGCTGTTCCGTCTACACTGCCTTGAAAGAATTCCTAGCTGTGTCCCCGGACCAACTTGCGGTGGTGAGTACTCATTTTCTATTACTTGTCTGAGCGAGCCACTTCCCGGAATCGCTATCTGCTAACAAATGGAGTGCGCTTTAATGTTTTGCATCGAGTAAAAACAGGATTATGTATTTAATCATACTCGAAAAAGGTGTAACTTCCCATGACGGGAACCGCGCACCGTAAGAACCTTTCCTCCTGTTATCATGCTGGCTCAAAATTCCAAGTCACTGGGCAAGTTATATATAGGACAGAAAAGGCCTACTACGCATGCCCAAAGCACGTTCCACAGCTTCACAAAAAAAAAAAAAAGTAGCAATATGGTTGATAGCTTTACTGCGGAATATTAAACGTGAACGCTGCCAAGGCGTTCACAGCCCATTCACTCAGCAGTTTTCGCCTGGGTGATAAGCATTGAGAAGATGTTTAGGATCGGCGAATCGGTACAAGCTCAGGGTCGAAGTTGCCACCTAATTTGTCGATTCGATAAAGGCTCCGACTCGTCCTGACGGCCCTTGATGTGCCAGTACAATGGGAGTATAAACCTCCAAACAAAATAATTTGACTGTTTCGCATGCGGACGGTCCACAGCCACCGCTATGGCTGACGAAAACACCAATGCCAGACCAAAATAGGGGAATATGGTAAGCAACTGTGTTGCATACTTGAAACGTTTCAGTTTCACAAACGTTTAGCGATAGTCTGAGTTTCCAGACGCCAGACGCCTACGCTCACGGCGCTCTTCATCAGGTAGTGTAACGCGTACCATGTCTCCACTTGGAAGTTGTTCCTAGAATGAAGCGACACTACCGGTAATTGGGCTGATAAATGTCGCGATTTTTCAGAGCCTTTCATACTCTCGAGCTCCTCTCCCTCAGTGCGCACAGGTGGTCGAGCTCCTCCTCGCCTACCCCTCTGGTCTCTTGACCTCCCCGTTAAAACAATCAGCGTCGAGCACCTCACTCCTCCTCTCCCATTCGTCAGCCAATCAGTGTCGAGCCTCGCGGCCACGCTTTTATCCAGGCTTCACGCGCCTTACGGCCTTGAAAATGTGTGCGCGAATACGGATGGTTCCTCGAACTCCTGTCGGACTGCGCCATTTGACGGCGTTTGTCAGAAAGTGGAGCGAACCTTCGATACACTTGCTTCTTGCCGTTCAAACACTTCGCCTCTTCCACCAAGTGAGGCTATTGATAATGGGCGATTTAATTACGGACGAAGGAAACACACGGCGCATGTCAATGGCGGTACGCGATTCATGGTTGCGAAACTTCTGGTTGCGAAACTTCTTGTTTCTATCAATATTGTCGCTTGATTACTCCGTCTGTCAGGTGGACGACGACACATCGCTCACTCGAGAGCAGTTCTTCGTGAGAATGAAGCGGTACGCGGTGGGTTTTCAAGCTTTGGGAATTCAGCCCGAGGAAAGAGTCTGCGTGCACATCGGCAACAGCGCCGAGAACATCGCCGTCCTCTACGGACTCGTGTTCGCTGGTGCCACGGTGGTGCTTGCGCACACATTCATGAATGAGGGTAAGCAATCTGAGAAGTGTTGTCGACATTCGAAAAACTAAGCGGCTGTAGTTATACGCTCAATGCATAAACCCTTCCTCGGACGTGCTTGTCATTTGCTGCGTTCCATTTTCCCGCACATGCTGCACCAGCTGCTCTCCCTGCACACATCGTATACGATTTAGGAGCGCAGCCTTTGCCAAGACACGGTCAGAAGTACATTTCACGGCACTTTTCTCGCCGCGCTACACTTTTCTGCATTGCGGCAGGCCGGTACAAGTAAATTAAAAGTGTCAATCATTGATTGGGTACAAAGGAGGTACCTTTACGTAAATGCAACTCTACCGCTTAACCAAGTGCTGTTTGTTGTAGGCGTAAATAAATTACCAGTGACTTTTACCTTAAAAGTCGTACAATGAACGAAATGCAGTGTTTATGGAGTGGTCAAGGAAAACATATTGTGTATTAATTTCCCCGTTAAATTCAACGAGGAAGTTGACGTCACGCGTCGTTGTCATGTGACGTGATTTAAGGTGTCAAGTCTGGAGGTCACGTGATAACACGACTTCATCTTGCGCCAATTACACGTGCACCCTAAATTTAGCGAAGAAACGCGCGCGCGGCCGGAGAAATATTTTGGGAGTAGGTGGTTCCGTTGAAAAGCGTTTCCAGCTTTAAAGCCTTACAGCGTTCAGGTGGCTAACGTGGCACGAAATAAGGCCGAAGCTACGAGAACTCAAACCGAGTTCCTTGAGACTGCGCAACTGAATACGACTGACGCATGAGCCATGTAAACCATAAGATGAATTCGGAAAACTTCCAGGAATGTTACGTACATTCGTCTCTTCGTAGAAAGAATTTTCTTCTTTCATGTGTTACACGTCTGCGTCTAATAATTCCCATACCTCTTTAGTTCCGTGAATTATACTCGCGCCCACTTTACTAGCCATTCAAAACTTGTTGGCTAACCGGTGACTGAAGCTATTGGCCAGGTCATCGAATTAGAAGGGGAGCTTTGTCTAGCTTGGTTTCCCACAGAGCTTCGTATCTATACACTCTAAAAAAAAAGTGTCGATTTAACTCTTTTTGGAGTGTAAGTGGCTTGTCACAGAATCCACTCTTTTAAAGAGTAACTCTAACTCTTCGGAGGCAAGTGTATGTTTAACTCTTCCATACAAGTGTTCACTTAACTCTTTTATAGAGAGTAACTCTAATACTTTTGAGAGAGTCAGGGTTACTCTTTTGATGTGTAAGTGCAAGAGTTAACGTCACTCCTTTGTGTAGAGTAATTATAACTCCATGAGAAGTGTTGCCTAAACTCTTTGATGAGAGTACATTTCACTCCTTTGTGTGGAGTGACAATAACTCTATCAGAAGTGTTGCCGAAACTCCATGTTGACGAGTGAAGGATGCTCTCCAGTTAGAGTTTCCTTCACTCCTTTGTGTAGAGTAACTACAACTCTGTTAGAATGTTGCCTGTAGTCTGTATTCAAGAGCTACGAGTACTCGCCAGGAAGAGTTACCCTCACTCCATCGTCTAGAGTAACTACAACTCCATTAGAAGTGTTGCCTAAGCTCTGTATGTAAGAGTTAAACGTATTCTCCCGGAAGAGTTAAATTCACTCGTTTGTAGAGAGTAACTAAAACTCCATTAGAAGTGTTGCCTGGACTCTGTATTTAAGAGTTAAGCACGCTCTCCAGGAAGAGCTGTTATAACTAGGGATGCCGCGAACTTTTTTCGAATCGAAGTTTCGATGATCGAATCAAGCGGTTCGAAAGGTTCGAAAGATTTCGATTTTTCGAATTGTCTATATCGTAAAATTCGACGGAGGTCGAATTTTCGAACTTGTTAAGCTAAGAAGTTCGACGCTTTTCGAACCGTCGAACTTATTACGCTAAAAAATTCTATCTTTTTCGAACTTTCGAACTTGACTGACCAAAAATTTCGATGAATTTCGAACTTTCGAACTTATTTATCAAGAGAATTCGAAAAGTTTCGAACTTTCGAACTCTGAAAAGTCAGAAGTTCGACGAACTTCGAACTTTTAGGGTAAAAGTTCGACGTTCGTCGAACTTCGAAAGACCGGCGGTCGGTTTCATTTGATTTCAAGTAGTGGGGTACATTCGTAATTTTTTTTTCTCGAACTTTTACACGCGGTGCTGCGTTCCTTACGAAAGACAATGTCGTTTATTTCAATGTTCTGGCATGCTTAGGTTTAAAGAAATAAATCCCCGAAGGGGCGAGGAAGGACGACGGGTTTTTGACGATTATCGTTTGTGCCAGATTTGAAGCACGCTGCAGCCGGAGCTATTCATGGTAGATAAGTTATACTTTTTTAAGAATGATCTATGTATAGCCTAGGTAAGTGCCGTTTTAAGATGTGATTATTGTTATTCAACGTGAGTTTCGAAGAAATGTCCAAACATGTATCTGCATGCAATTATGACCTAAACTTGATATTTATTTTCGTCTAAGTTGTTTGAGGTATCGCATTTAAATTAACACCACAGACAGTACATATCATTGCCATCTGCAGAATACAAAATAATATATTTATTGTTTTTTCACGTTAAGGAATAAATTAACTCATGGGAGAAGATTTCTAGTAGTGTTCAAGTTCAGCACGTCATTAAAAGAAAACTTTTTTTTTTTCGCTTCACGTTCCTGGGACGTGTTTCTTTTAGCCTGTACACACTTCGGTAAAAGAAACTTGTTTCGAAGTTCTGAACCTCTGAATATGCAAGAATAGAACACTTCCGACGAATTCTTGATAGTTTTTTTTTTCTCCTGCTTTTTATTCCCGCATTTATTTTTCTTTTTTTTTCTTTTGTTACTATCGGCACAGGTGTTTAGGTCGAAAAGACAGCTTTGAACTTCCGAACCACTAAGCATGTGACGAGCAGTGCCTTCTGACAACGAGTTTCTAACAATGACCATCTACGCAACGTTTTATGCAGTGAAGAGCGACATTAGCTATACATATGCATAAATAATTTCAGATTAAAATAAGCTCGACCACGCCCTCTTTCCCCGTATTGTTTTCTTTAACAGTCCGAAATACCAGCAAGGGGAAGAAGGAGGCTGAAGCCCCTTCCTCCTCCCCCCCCCCCCCCCCCCCCCCCCGCTACCCTCTTTCCCCCCGTTTTTCCTCTTCCGACGCCACTTGTAGAAAGCTCCTCGACCTCGAGTTGTGTCGGCTTTTGTGCTTTTTGCGAGGCGATTCCTCCGTCCCAGAAAATAAACCTCCAGGACAATTATAAACTTCACCGGATCGGATTACTACCAGCGTGCAAGGGGTGGCGAGCTAGTTTGCCAGGTCGCTTCACGGTTTTTGCCTCAACCTCCTGCTCGCCCCAGGCCGTTTCGAACTGGAAGAGTCTCGTAAAACAGTGTGTTCGTGCAATCACTACTGCTTGATGCAGGTTAAAGACCCCCCCCCCCCCCCCCCCCCCCCACGGGGATGGCGGTCACAATTCTGCACTGGCAAATATTCTAGCACATCCGGGACACTCGTCGTCTCATTTAATTGCCTGACCAACTTCGCAGAATCTAGATATCACACCCTGACTTTTCTAAACTTGATTTTGTGAAAACCAGTGAGTCGTGAAAACGTTATTTGAAACTGAAACTGTGGAAAAACTTGAAAATCGGACTTCGAACTTTGAAAACTTGGATTAGAAAGTAATTCAAAATCTTCGAAATTTTTTTTTTTTAATTTAGCGTTAAAAGAGAATCGAAACCTTCGAACTTTTCGAACTTTATGGAAAAAGAAATTCGAAATCTTCGAATTGTTCGAACTTCATGTCTATAAAAATTCGAAGCGTTCGAAGTTTTCGAATCTTTTTTACAAAGAATTTCGAAATCTTCGAATTTATCGAACCTGAAGTAAAAAAATATTCGAAATATTCGAATTCGAAATTTTAGAAACTGTGAAAGCTTCGAACTTTTCGAATTCGAAACTCCGCTGTGGACAAAAGTTGCGAATTTTTCGAAATCGAACCTCGGTCGGTACGAAAATATCGGAATTTTTCGAAATCGAACCTCAGTTCGCTTCGCAAATATCGAAACCTTTCGAAATCGAACCTAGGGTGGTTCGCGACATCCCTAGTTATAACCTTTTTGTGGGGTAAATACAACTCCGTTAGAAGTGTTGCCTAGTCTCTGTATAAGCGAGTTAACTATGCTCTCTAGCAAGAGTTAATGTCACATAACAGCACACTTGAGCAGTTTGTGTGACCCCGCCTTAGAGAGTACTTAACGCTTTAATACAGAGTTCAGGCAACACTTAGAATGGGGCTGTAATTACTCTACAGAAAGAATTGTGTACAGTAAGTACAGCCCCATTTGATGTGTTGCCTAAACTCTGTATAAAAGAATTAGCACCCTCTTCAGGAAGGGTCCGAAGGGGGCACACAAACTCCGCTCAATTATGCTGTTAAATATTGTTTTTAGTGTGCTGTTGAGTGTAAGTTAACCCAGTGAAAAGTAACGGAAACACCTGAAAACAGAATTAGAAGAACGGAAGTGTAAAATTGGCTTTGTTAAAAAAAGGCTTGCTGAAAAAAAAAAAAAAAAAAAAACTCTTCTGGCAAGTGACATTTCTAGCCGGTTGAAGTGCGACCACTGTACTTTTCGTTCTGTAATTATTCTATGGAATGTTAATACCTCCCTTGGTGTCACTGTAATTTGGAATACTTTTGTCCTTATTGTATGAGTTGTTCCATGCAACTAGGGACAACTCAAGTAATTTGCAATGAACAGGAGCCCTACAATTTACAAGCGGCAACGTACATGTTCACAAGGAGATGGTTGCATAGGAAATGTGGAACTGCAGCTCAAGAATGACATGAAATATATATCATATGAGCCTGCACAGAGGCAGGCAATAGGTTCTCATGAAAAGTCAGCATAGAGAGAAAACAGTAGAATAGAGTTTATTAAACCAAGATTTTAATTTCTGAACATGGCAAAACTGGCACACAAATTTCCTCTGGCTAACAAGTTTTTAACTTTGTGATCA